GGTGGATGCTTGGTGATGTGGGAGGAGGAGTGAAGAAGGAAACTCCGGGACCCACTGGGGATTGTGTGCTCCGTCAGGCTGACTCCGCTCTCCCAGAGCCCGGCTGGGTGAGTCTGGGTTGAGGGGGATCGCCTATCTCATCATGCCTTGTGCAGAATCTCACCTCAGCCTCCACTCTCCTCTTTCAGTTTTCTGGCCCCATGTCCTGCCTGAGGTTATTGGGACCAGGAGTCCTTTTTGGAGGGCTTTCATTCCAGTTTGGAGGGCTTTCATTAGAGATTGTGCAAATTCAGCTCTCCGCTTCCAACGCTGCTTAGATTAGTGGCCGGGGGACACATCTGGGCTGAGTTTTCAAGAGTGCCTCCTTCCAGGGGGCCAATTGGACCAACCTCATGACTGAATGCTGAGGTAAGAACTCTCACTGGTATCTTTAGAGACCACCACCCTCTGCTGCAGCTGTGGCTTTCACTTCTATTAAAAGTTTGTCAGACCACCCATGTCGCCCTGACCATAGCCACTAATGAGTTCTTATCCCCATTTGATCAAAACGAGGGCTGAGTCTCAGCATTTGGGGTAGGAGCCAGATGTGGACCTTAGTTCATGTGACCTAGCTTGCCACCAACTGCTGGAGAGGTTCCAGAATGAGATCGTCACCTCCCCAGCCGGCACTGTCCGGCTCCCCTCTTTCCAGATCAGCGTCCTGTATTCTGCCCTCCAGAGGTCAGGTGTGAGTGGATGACAGGGAGAAAATATTCCATCCACATGACCCGTCAACAAGAGGCATTCACACACCCCCCAAGACTGCATCAAAATTCCTTCGTCCAGTCTGAAGAAGCCCCAGCTCTGCTTCCACCCAAGCAGGTGAGTGATGCGGCCCTTCCCATCAGTGGTCCTCAGTGACCCTTCCTCCCGTCTGTCCTGCTCAGAGTGCCGGACCAGATGCTGATGGGTACATGATTCTGAAAGGCCTAAATGTAACCAGCATGTGCTTTGTAGCACTTAAACTTAGCCACCTTAGTTGTCCTCGGCAAACGGGTGAGTTTGCGATCCCTTCCTTTTGCAGAAGGCTGTTTTCGGCCAGTTCTTCCAGGCGGGTGATGGGCGCATTCACCGTACTGGAAACTGAGGAGATCAAACTTTTCTTTGTATTCCTGCCCAAACACAAATTCTCTGGAAGAATATATTAGAACAACCAGTCACCGAAGATAACAGAGCTCAATTTGAAAGACTCCAGTGCAAGCAGGGCTTTGCCAACACTTGTTCTGTTTCCATAAGTGAGACCCAGCTTTCCTGGTATGGTTTGCTTTTTGTTTGTTAGGTTTCTCTCTCCCTTTGTCTCTCCCTCTCTCTCTCTCTTCTTTTCTTTCCAAACTGTGTCCTTTCAGTGCACTTAGGGATTTCCTGCGCCAAAGCATCTTCTAGAAAAACTTATGTTATAATGAGAGAAGAAAAACAACAGAACAAAAACAAGAAACAAAGGCAAAAACAATCCCGGTTCGGGTATTCCCTGCGAGGGTTTCCCGGAGTGAGCCTGCCAGACGTGTTACACATGCTCTGGAGTATTCATCTTCTCTGTCTGTGATATCTGTCTTTGTGTTTGGCATTACCGAGCCTTAGAGGTTATCGTGAATGCCAGTTGTGTGAAATAAGCGCAACTGACAGGATTTAAAGGCTTGGACTAACCTTTCTAATCCATCGCGTCCCTGTTCTGCGCCTTAGGCCAAGCCTCTTCTGCAAAAATATACTACATCCTTGCTTCTGTGAAGGGAGCTGCAGTAATTTCCTGAATGTCAGTCAAAGCCTCTCTCCTTGAGGAGCCAGAGAAATTCAGGTTTCTCCTTCTGACTAGATGGGAAAGAAGCTATAAAGAATTTTGCGAATGAGATGAGTGTTGGTATTTTTGCCACACATGTTTAGCTTTTTCATTTCGTTAGTAGTTCAGATATAATTTATATAGGGGCACCTGGGTGGCTCAGTAGTTTAAGCATCATGTGCCTTTGGCTCAGGTCATGATCCTGGGGTCCTGGGATCCAGCCCCGCATTGAGCTCCCTGCTCAGGGGGGAGCCTGCTTCTCCCTCTGCCTGCCACTCCCCCTGCTTGTGTGCTCTCTCTGACAAATAAATAAATAAAAATCTTAAAAAATATATGTATAATTTATAATCCCTTTCCCCTTATGTTATACTAATCAGTGAAAGTAATTCTGAATTTAAAAAATCCATCTAGAGATAAATTAGTTCACCAATAATTTATTAAAATCAATTCATCAATATGGAGTGAAAACTATGTGTTGGGCATTATTCTGCATGCTGGGGGTATAGGATAGGCCAAGTCCCTGCCCTCCTGAATCTTCTATCCTGTGGGTGGAGAAACAGAAAATAATCACATAGATAAATATGTACGATGTCAGAGGTGGTAAGTACTAGGAAGACTAAAGCAAAGAAAGGAGATAGGGAATGAGGGTGTTGGGGAGTGAGGTACTATTTTACCGAGGATGGCCAGACAAGGCCTCTCAGGTAAGAGGATATCTGAGCAGCGGTTTGAGCAGAGGACATGAATGAGTGAGCCATGCTGGCATCTTGAGGAAGAGTGACCCAGGCAGAGAAAATAGCAGCTAGTTGTAGACACAAAGGTGCTCAGGGTATTCACAGAAACTTTTATGTTATAGTGAAGATTGGATTTCTTTTCAATGAGATACAAAGTCCCTGGAGAGGTCTGCATAAGGGAGTGACATAATTTCACTGATGCATTTAAAAGATCATTTTGATTTGTATTATTAAAAACACTATGAGGGGGTGAAGGAGAAAGCAGTTAGACAGGTTAGGAGGCAATTCTAGGAAGACTGTGGCGTAAACAAGAATGATAGTGATGGCGGTAGTACTGAGTGGTGATTGGATTCTGGAACTATTTGGAAGATAGAGCCAATAGGGGTTGCTGATGATTGCTGATGTGAGGTATAAGGAAAACAAGAGGAGACAGGAATTGACTGGGGTTGTAGCCTCAATAACCGGCAGTTGCTGTTTGCTGAGATGGTGGGATTGGGATAAGAGCAGGTTTGGTGGTTGGTAGAGAGGATCAAGAGATCAGTTTGGGGCATGTTCAGTTTGAGCTGCCCATTAGATATCCAAGTGGAGATAGGCAGTTGGAAATAAAAGTCTGGAGTGCAAAGGTGAGGTCGGGGCTAAAGAAAAAAAACCCCGAGTGTAATGAGTAGTATAGGTAGTTTTAAAGTCATGGGATTACATGAGATCATCAATGGAATGAGCGGAGAGAGGAAAGGAGAGATCTGGGGACTGAGTTCTGGATGTCCCCAAAGCTTACCAGTTAGGAAGGAGATGGAGAGGGAGTGGTTAGTGAAGTAGAAGAAGCCATGAGAGGGAGTGCTATCACAGAGGCAAGGGAAGAGATTGTTCCAGTAGAGGGACATTGACTTTGCTAATTGCTGTTGGCTTGAGTAAGATTAAATGTTGAGACATGGCTATTGGATTTGGCCATTGGATTTGGAGGTCATTGGTGACCTTGATGAGGACATTTTTAGAGGAACATTAAGAACAAAACTCAACAGGAGTGGGTTCCAGGGAGAACAGAGTAGAGCAAATAGTGGTGTTTTATGTGGACAACTTTCCTGAGGAACTTTGCTGTGAAGGAGGGCGTGGAAGGAGCTCTGGGGTCAAGGGAGGGGATTTTTATTTCTTAAGATAGGAGCTATCAAGGAATATTTTTATGCTGATGGGAGTTATCAAGAGGAGAAAGAGAACAAACAGATAATGCTTTGGGAAGCGAGGGGACAATTGCTGGCGGAAGGGTTGAGATCTCCGGCACAAATGGAGTGTTGGGTAAAACCAAATGTACTGATAGAAATATGGGTAGGTGGCTTGGTAGATTTGGTGGTGGGAGGCTTTGGAAGATCATGGGGTTAGAGTAAGGAGAGAAAGGAGGAGGGGGAGGTTTGAGGAGAAAGGAGTATGAGGGAAGAAGTAGAGTGAATTGATCACACCGGGGTTTCTCAGGCTTCCCTGTGCACCAGAACCACCAGGGGCCTGTTATAACACTCGTTGCTGGGCCTCACCCTGAAAGTTTCTGATTCATTTAGGTCTGGGGAGACATCCAAGAATTTGCAATTGTGACAGATTCCCAGGTGTTGCTTCTGCTTCTGGTCCCGAGACTGGACTTTGGGAACCACTGGGCTTTGCACTGGGTTGGGACAGCAGAGCATCCCTGAAGGCCTCCCTGGGCCTGGCAGTCATGCATGTAGAGGGAATCCAATCAGCATGGTTGTGTGTTTTTCTGCAGCCCCGTTCGGCAGCTCAGGAGCTGGCAACCGTAGGCACAAAGTTGGGACTTCACCAGAAAAAAAATGCACAACTGATATGACTGGTGTATTTGGGATGCTCCACTTCTCTTGATGTCCTTGTAGTCTGAAAATGCTTTTTCTACATCTTCCATTTGAAATAGAAGGGAGTGGAGAATCTGAGATGGAGAAAAAGAAAAACCAAAGTTTGTGGTGAAGTTTACTGTTGTAGGACTTAGAAATAAAATGGAGTAGTGGCCGCCTCTGTTCTCCTATTGAAAGGGGAAACATAAGTCCCCTTTTCCTAAAGTATCTGCTAACCATGCTGTTTCTGTGATCTACAAAATTGTGAAATATACTTAAAAACTAAAATCTGGTTCTTCTGGATTTTCTAAGATTACTTCCATCACATGCAGAATTTGGAGACTATTATATTGTTCTTTGCAAATGTTCATGTCCCCCTGCAAAAAATAAGTGGTTAAGTGCAGAGCCTTACACGCAGGAAGTGAGTTCTGGAAGTGACAACTCAGCTATTTGAGTGAGGGCCACAGCTCCATCAGAACAGAAAAAAAAAGAACGGACTTCCATAATAAAGTACAGTATTAAGTCACATCTCATAGGTTAAGCAGCAATTTAAATGTGGTGGATTTGCATATTAAACATTAATTTTTGAGTCACTGATAGTTTTCTTTTTATTAAAAAACAAAACAGATTTTGTTGGAGCCAGGTGTGATCCAGGATGTGCTAGCTGCTGGCAGTCACCTACAGCTGTTGGAGCTTCTCAATTTATGTTCCCACTATCTCATCCAGGTATGTGAGCTTGCGTCCTGCTACTGAGCCCTTCCTATCCCTTCGCCCTGCGGTCATTAGCTGTACCTGCTGCTCCCCGGCCTGTGCCTAGACAGGAAAAATGGAAGTAGGGGAGATGTGGCTTGTGATGGTAGAATCTCTCCAGGACATGGGCCGCGAGTCTCCCAAGGGGGCAGCTGCAGCTCTCCTGTCCTGTCCCAGGACCCCCAACCTCCCAGCCCACCCCAGGTCCTCACTGCCCTGGGGCGGCAGAGTAACTCACTGACCACGCTCCTGGTTTATTGCTGGGGCCCCAGAAGATGACACTGGGAAGGATCTTCATTTGAAGCAATGTTGTCTGGCTGCAGGAATAACAATCCCAAATGCACAAAAAAGTTGGATAGTCACTGAAGATTTCAGCAACAGTAGCTAATATATCACAAAGTCATATATAATGAAGTACCACATGAACTTTTCAGGCAAAAGGTGCTGAAAAGGGGGTAAGTGATCTGTGCATTCTTCCCCTGGTTTGCTGGGATGATCAGGAAGGGCTCTGGGAGGGGGAGGAAGAGAAAACGCCCATCCTCTGAGCACCGATGTTTCACGGTCAGTCCTCCTAACATCTTTGCACATTTTTATAGGTGAAAAGTCAGAGATTTAAAAGGTACCCAGCTTGCCTGAGGTGATAGAGCTAGTGAGTGATAGGCCTCTCTGATTCCGAAGACAATTTTTTCTTCTTGGATAGAAACTTTTTGGTTCATTAGGAAGACACGGGACATCTTAGGCAGACAGTATGGCTGTAAGGCTTTTATTTTAAGGAGTTAAGTACCGATTCCCTGTATTGGGAGCCTCTTACTTCCTCCACTGGCATGACTTTTTACTTATATTTGTTACAACATTATAACAACAGTGAAAATACATTTTTAACAATGATAAATCCATACAATTTAATTTTACTATCCTTGTGCATATGACTTATTAGTAAGTATAAAAATCCTATTTGTTTTCCTGCCCCATTATTTTATTTTCTTCCTAGTCATTTTCTCTAATTCTGAATACAGCCATATTATTGACCTCTGTCACTCAATAGGTCGTTTCTCAAGCTCCTTCTCATGTATCATCTTATTTCGTCTTCCTGGCAACCTTGGAAAATAAGAACCAATGCTTCCCTGCGAGATAGTATGAGGAGTGTCAGCCACATTCACCTGAGGAGCAGTTCAAACACAGTATATGAAAGTTTTATCATTATCTCTGTGCATTTAATCTAATAGTAAATGTTTAACTATTATCATCTGATTTTCCTTTGTTTTCCCCTCAATATTGTTGGGTGGTATGGGAGAGCTGTTTTTAATCCCTTTCTGCAAGTAGCAAATGGAAATAACAAAGAAAGGTTACAAGACTTAAGAGGTGTGTGTTTGACTTGTGAAATTGAAATTACTTTTATTTGACATTTTTACATCAAATATTGCAACTTGAGCCTTCAGCATCATCACCTGATTCACTTTTTCCATGGCAGGTAATATTCAATGATGTATGTTGCCAAAAGTTTGGTTATAGTGCTCATTATTGTGATTCACGTTAAAATGGTGTGTATATACAGGTGTGTGTGTGTGTGTGTGTGTGTGTGTGTGTTTACCTACACCTATAATTTCTATAAACAAGAATTGCAGATGAACATCAGAAGTTCATGGGTATTTTCCCCTATCCCGTCAGATGAATTTGTTGAGATACCAAGTGACTTGTGCACTTTGGAACTTAATTTTTGCAGTTCGTTATTTTGTTGAAGAAAAAATGTAGCCTGCATACAGATATATTTTGTGGACAGTTTGCTTATTATTAGCCTACTTGATCAGTGGTTGAAATTTTCACTTTCTTTTCTCCAATGTTTTCATTTTGTTCTTTCATGGAACTTTATTTTTCCTTTTTATCTGCAATGTTGCAAGATATCCAAGTTGGGGAAGAAAACTTTGACTATAAGGGAATCAAGCCATGTGTATGTAGAAATCTTCATTATGTCTGTCTTTTGAAAATACATTCCCTTCCTCTCTTTTTTAGGATTGTAAGATTTCCAAACTGGGTTGGTCTGCTTTAATATTTTGATATAGTCTTATAACCATATCTGTTTACAGTGTTTTGGTATTATTGCTGACCTGATTCTTAATTTTATATGGGACCATTTTATTGGTTATATAAAAATGTGTTTTGTTAAGATGAAAAATCTTTAGTGCTTAAAATATACTTAGAAATGCCCTATCAGGGCGCCTGGGTGGCTCAGTCGGTTGGGTGTCTGACTCTTGATTTCAGCTCAGATCATGATCTCAGGGTCCTGGGGTTGAGCCCCGAGTCAGGCTCCCTGCTCAGCAGGGGAGTCTGCTTCTCCCTCTGCCTCTGCCCCTGCTTGTGTGTTCTCTCTCTCACTCACTCTATCTCTCAAATAAAATCTTAAACAAAATTAAAAAGTAAAAAATAAATAAATAATAAAAAGTTGTTCCCTATCAATCAAGGCTAGCATATTTTCCATTCTTGTTCAGTACTTTGTCCACATAGGAGTTTGTGAAGCCATTCTCCCCTACTAAGATATCTGGTCCTGTTTGTTATTCTCAAATTACCACCCTTTCTTTGGTTTTCTTCCAGAGTTGTAAAAGGTAGACCTCTGCTCTGATACCTCCTATTGTCCTCTGGTGCTCAATGATCATAGCTGAGGAGAACCCCTGGGTTGACACTCTCTGAGTCTCTGGGCCATCAGCTATTACCTTGGCTTGAAACTCCTCTGCACAGGTGTAAATGCTGGTGCCCCCCAGCAAAGGGAAGGGACACCTTGAGGCCACTGTGTGCTCTTCTTTTTCTTGCCTTTCCTCGGGGAGGCTGCTGAGAGCAGGGGCCTCAAACTGCAGGAGCAGTGCCCCTCTGTTAGTGAGGATAGCCATTGAATTAGCCTCCTATGCTGTGGAACCTTCACCCTATTCATTTTTAGTCCCCTGGCCCTCTGGATGCCAGGCCCTTGTGAACACACGGATTCTCAGCACAGGTCATATCCAATCAGTTACCAAGCTGAGTTGATTCTACCTCCCAAATACCTCTCAGACCTGATCCTTTTCTTCATCGCTAATGCTCTTACCCTTTTGGGGGGCTCTCATCGCTACTGGCTATAGATTGTAGTGAGTTCCTCATATCCTCCTGAGGGGTCTGCTTGTTTCTAGCCCTTCTCCATGCCAAACCATAGTCCCCAGAGCCTTCGTTATCTTTCTCAGGGTAGGGAAATAGCATTTGTCAAGGGCTTCTCCATACCAAGCGTTTTGGACAGTGATTCTCATTTTCCCTCTGCTAAGGAACCCCTTAAAGCAGGTGAGTATTCTTTCCTTTTTACAGATGGGGAAACTTAAGTTCAGAACTAAGCTGTTGATCCAATGGAAATACCGATGAGCTCCCCTGATGACCATTCTGGAGCATCCTTAGCCTCATCTTTGAGGCCATGCTTGTTCCTCCCCAGCCTCCTCTGCAGCCTTAGTGCCTTTCCTAGCCCACTGCGCTCTGGCCTCTAAGGTGACCTTTCATTCCGGGACTTGCCACATTAGGGGGGAAGGCTAGGTGGCAGGCAGAACCTCTCAGTCCCCTTCAGATTGTACCAAGGAGCAGGAGTTGGGAAAACATCACATACACACACACACACACACCCTCTCCCACTCCCTCCTCTGCTGATGCACCTGTCACAAGATGAGTGGAGCTGGCCACTGGACTTTGTGTCGTATGCTTTGAAAGTGATGCATTAGGAGATACACGCTTTGCTGAAAATGTTTTTTTGTAGTTAGCTTTCAAAAAAAAAAAACTTTACATTTCATACCACTTCTCCCAGATAGCAAATAGTATATCCTATTGTTTAATTAGCAAGTGGTTTTTGTTTGTTTGCCAAATCAGCCTTTAGTATGATATGCAATTTAAATATATTGACAAAAAAGAGCGGTCATGTACACTTTCTAAATAAGGCCGCGCAAGTGGTGACTAAACTCCTCTGGAAAGAACACGCAGTATCTCTTCCTAGGCAGCAGGTGGCAGTATGAATCCACCAGAATTAAGTAGTTAAAGCAAAAAATCAGAAAAAATGAAAAGAAAAATTATTTATTTTGCTACATATTAGTCTTCTGACCTAATCAGTAAAAAAGTCATTATTCACACCACACTGGGCAATATGCACTGTAATTTTTAACAAATAGTAGGAAACTGTTAATGTGTTCACAGGAAATACAGTTTTGTCTTGGGCTGCTGTGGTCATTTATCACTGCACTTTGTGAAATCACTCATTTGTTCTAATTTGAATGTAAATGACTCTAAGGTTTTACAAATAAGGTGACAGACTCACATAAATGTAATTGCAGGGTTCATCTCCCTCTTTTTATATATCACTCATTAGGTTATGAATTAAATACATCGTATTAAACCAGGGGCATGTCCAATGATGATATTGTAATGGCAAATTACTCTGTGCTATTAGAGGTGTATTTTTTATTCATGGACATTAATTTGTCATTAAGCAGCATTAGTTTAGCACTTTTATGTGAAAGACGTGACCTGAAAGAGGAGACGTGCTGCTGTGACGGGAGAGGGAAGGGACATGCACGCTCTAGGTAGAGCGTTTTATCACCACAAGGAAAACAGAGGAGCATTTGTTTTATTATTTTTTTCATTTGTTTTTCATTTTTTTCTTTCCTGCTTCTCTAAGTGTAAAAAATCATTTCACCAGATTGCAGGCATTGTTCTGCTTACGGTGTGCACCTTTGGATCATCTAGTAAAGCAAAGCCAAAATTCTTACTCTGAATCATTCCGAAGCTGAGAACATACCAGAGTGGGAGGGAGCCAGCGTCTTCCCGCCCTAAATCTCCGTCCTCTGTGACTGATGCATATTAGTCATCCCTTGTCTTCATTTAGTTTTACACTAAATGGGCTACTGTGAGAATTAGTCATTTTTCTCTCTTCAGTGAAGGTACAAAGGCTTAAGGAATGTTATTCTCTCATGAGGGTAGTA